AAAGAAAACTCGCCTCTAATGGTGCTAATGAAACACTGGGATGGGTTTGTGGTGGTGGATGGGATGCTTTGGGGAGCTGGTGACTGAATATAGAAACAGTAACAAAACATCTCAGGGCTGCCACCTCTGCAAGTCACCTCCATCGCCTTGCCTCTTACTCTCCCCCCCTCCCTCACTCTACTCCAGCCACCCTGGCCTCCTTGCTGCTCCTGCAACCTGCCTCACGTGCTCTGCCTCGGGGCCTTGGCACTCTGCCTGTGAGGCTCATCCCCCAGGTCCCCCAATGGCTTACTCTTCCCATCCTTCAGGCTCTGCACAGTGAGACCTTCCTGAACACCCAATCTAAAGCTGTGCTGTCTCCAACCCCTAGTCCTCCCTTCTGATGGCTCCATCTTTGAAATATCTGACATATTACAAATAGTGTTGTTTACTGGTTATCCACCACTGTCCCCTCCCCCAACAAGAATGTCAGTTCTGTGAGAAAACTGATGTTTGTTTTCTGGAGTCAATGCTGTAGCCCCAGGGTTTAGAATAGTGCCTAGCACACAGTTAAAGGCTCAAAAAATGTTGAGTGAATGAAAGAAAATGAAGGGAGGAGGAGACAGTCAGAGATCAGGTTTCAAGGTCAGCCTTTCCAGGATCCACAAGGGTACTTGCCATTCCACACGCACTAGCAGGACTAGGTTCCCACTAACTGTGGTTAGATGTGGGCATTGTCTGTCAAGAAAGAAGCTGGGGACTTCCCTGGTGGTGCAGTGGTTAAGAATCCGCCTGCCAATGCAGGGGACATGGGTTCAAGCCCTGGTCTGGGAAGATCCCACATGCCTTGGAGCAGCTAAGCCCACGGGCCACAACTACTGAGCCTGCGCTATAGAGCCCGTGAGCCACAACTGCTGAGCCCGCATGCTGCAACTACTGAAGCCCGTGCGCCTACAGCCTATGCTTTGCAACAAGAGAAGCCACCACAATGAAAAGCCCACACATTGCACTGAAGAGTAGCCCCCGCTCGCCGTGACTAGAGAAAGCCTGTGTGTAGCAACGAAGGCCCAACACAGCCAAAACTAAATAAATACATAATTTTTAAAAAAAAAAAAAGAAAGAAAGAAGCTCTGCTTGCCTACCCAGCTACAGGGGAAACGCTCAGGAAAGGAAGAAATGGTTTATGTGGATGAAAACAGACAAACAAAAGAAATCTTATCCACACAATAATTCTGTCCTCTCTTAGGAATAAAGAATGCAGTAATCAAGATAACCCATGTTTGAGACATTTGCCTCTGTGTTCACCATTTACAAAGAAACCTGAAATTTTAAAGTCAGTATACCTTGTGATTGGGCTCCCAGAGGAAGAGGTTCCAGAATTGCCAGATCTCCTCACTCTTAGATGGAGAAAATGTTAGTCACTCAGCTCTGTAATGCTCTCCCTCTATGTCTTGATCTGGAATCTGGGCGTCTTTGGATACAGTGACTAGGAAAGCAAGTGAGTCATCACAAGCAATAGAAGCCATGGGTCAAATGTCACTGACTAATCAACCTGTCATTTGTCAGTTACCCATCCCCATGAAGAGGTGCCACTGATCTAGTTTCCTATCAATAAACATCTGTCTGGGCACATCAGCTGCTGCTAACCATGGCCTGCTGAGATATGCAGCATCACCCAGAGGCATTGGTGGTTAAGAAATCCCTCTCTCCCTTTCTTATTGATAATGTCACAGAAGAGGCAAATGCAGTTCCTGACAAGGTAATGTTAGTTTCATAGAGATGTGTCTCTCTGAGCGTTCAGCCAGTTTCATGGGGCTTCAATTGCATGGATTTTCTCACTGCAAAAGCAATAGCTGGGCTTAAGGAAGGTGGAGGCTTCACGCGGTGCTGAGATACACAATTCTGCTTTTGGTTGTGCTCATGCTCATGATCCCCCTCTGAGTCAGGAAAAAAAAATTGTTTGGGGAGAACCATTCTTTTTCCACATTTAAAGAAAACCAAACGGCACTGTTCTCTCTTGTCTCTCTTAAGCTCCAGTAACACCTTTTATCTGGAGTCAGATTCAACATCTCTGACTGTTTGAGTAGAGCTAGAGGCTAAGGTAGCCTTGCCACATGAAAAGCTTGTTTGTCTCTTTCTGAGTTGTCACCTTGGCAATGACCTCATGAGGTCCCTGCTCGATCTAAAATTCTAGATCTCCCACTATACCCGCTATAATTTCCCCTTCTATCTTGATAGACTACCTCATCTGCACATTCAATCTGTCAAGGAACACTTATTCCGAGTTGTCACAGGCTTCATATATCGGGTGAGGTGGGGAGGAGGCAGCAAGTAAACAATTATAATACAAACATGACAAATGTTCTGGGAGGAATTACATACAGAATGTACAGAATCATTTAATAGGGATGTCTAAATCAGCCCAGGAGATGATAGAAGGTTAGGGAAGCATTCCCAAAGGAGTGAAGTCTTGAAGGGGTTATAAGAGCCAGGTAAAAAGGGGTGATGAGAAGGTAGTGAGACACACATGTAATGAGAACAGCATGTTCTAAGAGTTGAAGGCATGGGGTAAGAGAGGGGTGACACGTGCAAAACTGCAAGTAGCTGGATAGGTTGAGACAGTACGTGTAGGGGTGGGTGGAGAGGCAGGAGACAAGGCTGTACAGACAGAAGTAAGTCACGTGTTCTTTTTTTTTTTTTGCAGTACGCGGGCCTCTCACTGTTGTGGCCTCTCCCGTTGCGGAGCACAGGTTCTGGACGCGCAGGCTCAGCGGCCATGGCTCACGGGCCTAGCTGCTCCGCGGCATGTGGGATCTTCCCGGACCGGTGCACGAACCCGTGTCCCCTGCATCGGCAGGCAGACTCTCAACCACTGCGCCACCAGGGAAGCCCAAGTCACATGTTCTTAATGCTGTTGTCTGAACTTTCTCCTTAAGGCAAATAGTAGCCATGAATCCTCTTAAGAAGGGGCATGACCACGTCAGATTTGTGGTAACAGTGTGGGAGATGGTTGCAGGTGGGGAAAGAAGAGCTAGGTAGAGAAGAGAAACTACAAAGGTGCAACTATGGTGATGGCAGTGGGGATGGGGAAGAGAGGAAGGATTTGTGAGATATGTAGGAGCTGGTATTGACAGTTGACTGGTTCAGTAGGGGAGGTGAGGGAAAGGAAGGAGTTTAGGAAGATTTCCATGTTTTTGGCTCAGTGGATGGGTGGATGAGCAGTACCACTAAATCAGATGAGGAAATCGCAGTGTGAGGCAACTTGAGCAGGGAAAGGGGAGAATGGTAGAATTCCATTTCTGACATATTGCTTTGAGATGCACAGGGACCGTTGTTGGATGGGGGGTGGAGAATGTGGGGTGCCAGGTAAGCAGACAGAATACAGGGAACATTAAAAGAGAGTGGGCAGAGCTGCTAAGCTGCCAGTTTGCTTCTATCTTCATTGGCAAGAAGACTGGTTTTCAAATTAGAAATGGCAGAACAAACATAAGAGAAACCTGAAGCCCCAAATAGGTGAAGTGAAAGAAAATATCTAGTCATTTTAAATGATTTCAAGTCTCCTGCTCAGATGTGTTACACACCAAGCCTTCTGAAAGAAACTGCAGATGTAATCTCAGAGACACAATTGGTAATCGTCAAGAAATTGTGCAGACTATAAGACAAGAGAAGGACAATTGTTTTCCATATTTTTAAAGTAAAGAGAAAAAGATTGTAATGGGAAATATTCAGATAAGTTTCACACCATTTATGACAAAGATTCTAGAATGACTTATTAAATAGATGGCTTATGATTACTTTAGTTAATGTATGCAGCTGAGAAGAATGAAGGAGGGCGCGTTGATGGCTATCTGATGGAAGTTTATTTATACTGCTAGCTTGTCCAGACTGATTGTGGCTTGTGTCCTCCCCCTTCCTAAGCACAAAGTGAGTTGTCTGGCCTGCAGTATGAATTCAAGTCTTCTTTATCTGTGATTTGTTGCCTGTGGTACTCAACCTGTATGTGGCCCTTTATGAAAAGAGGTTGACAATTTAAATGAAGAAACCAACAGTCTGAATCCTCCAAGAAATCCAGCATCACTTGTCAGGGTACCCCAGGGAACTGACAAGCAGCATTAACCTCTTAAGTTATTAGCTGAGACATCAATAAACCTTTGTCTATTAGAATCCCACTACCTTATTTTTTGTGCTGTTTCTTTCTTTACACATACTAACTTTAAAATGAGAACAGGAAACAGTAAGGAAAATGTGGTACAGCACGACGGCAGGAAGGCAGTCATGTCTCACCAACATCTCTACCTCTGGCAGGCTAAGATATAATGTAAAATATCTTGTGTTTAAAAAATACACACACACACACACACACACACACACACACACACACACACACAACATTAGTCTTTCAGAGACCTTCTTAGAACCTTAAAAAAAAAAAGGGCAGCCTATTTGAGACCCAGATGACTCACTTGAACTAAAGTATATCCTCTGGGAGATGTCACCAGTGTCACATTTTAAAATTATATGATCCTACAAATCAAGCAATAGTGGGTTAAAGTTCCCTTCTTAAAGCAAAGCGAAACAAAACAAAACAAAATGAAAACAACCAAAAACCCAGACATGAAGATTAGTAAAAAGATCTTTTAGAACCAGGTTTCATATTCAGATCTGTTTGGTTCATATATAAAGTCATTTATTCGAGTTGAAAATGATTTTGATATCCTGTAAGTCCCTAACCAATACAAACTGAGACTTGTGCCGTATCCAGGGAGAGGCCTTAGTCCTCTCCCTCCACAAATCTAAACTAGTCCCTCCACAAGTCTAACTTTGGTGCATCTCCCCACCAGAAAATCCAAACAAGCACCTTGTATATCTTTGTCCCTCCTTTTCCATCCCCTCCTCTCAATATTTAGAGCAAAGAACAGAAGAGTATCTTCACTGAAGTTACTGGGATCATCAATGTACCAAAATACAATTTGCACATGTCTTCCATTTTAAAAGTAATAAATGAAAGGGAATCTTCTTACCGTATTGACCCAATCATGTATGGCTGTGCCAGTTGAACCACAATTGCACCACTTCCTAGCTGATGACATGTATAGCCAGAATCCCAATCATAGTTCTTAGTGTCCCCATTCAGCAAGGCATTTCGGCTCCGACTGACTCCTTCAATCACACTGGCACAATCAGCAATTGTTGCAACGTTCTCCATGGGAACTGTGAATCCAACACAAGATTCAGCATCAAGATAAAGAAGCCAAATATATCCCACCAGTGTGCTATGAACAAAATTAATTAATTACTATCAATAATAAAATAGAAATTAGAGCATCTTGATTATCTCAAGATATGAACACATTTCCATGCTAAATAGCTTTTAAAAAAGATGAACCTGAGGCTGGAACAAACCAAACCACATGTAGCAATTAACCCTAAAGAATTTTATTACAAAGAAACATGATACCCCATAAAATATAGAATGGATAAATACATTGTGAAATATTACTACAGTGGGAAACGACACAGTAGTTGAGATTAATTAACTACAGCTATATCCAAATTGATTAATCAAAAAACAGTGTTGAATGAGAAAAGCAAGGCACAGAAAAACACAGTGTATGAGTTCATTTATACAAAGCTTTTCAAAAAGGCAAAACTAAAAATATAATTTGTTTAGGGATACATATATAAATGTAAAACTAAAAAGGAAATCCAGGGAATTATTACACAAAATTCACGATCGTTTGTATGAGAAAGAGGGAGATGAAATCTTGGAGGGACACCCACCAATGTGTCCAAACATTAATTGATTTCATTTCCAAGATGAAATCCTGGAGGGGCTTCAAAACTACTGGTTTTCTTCTATACTCGTGAGGCGATAGGTACATAGGCACTTGTTTTATTAGTATTCTCTAAACTGTACATATTTATTACACTTAATAAATGTAGCAAGTTTGTTTAAAGAAGCATGACATATATAGATTCAGTATTTTAGAATTCATAAAGCAGGAAAACAATCCAGGACATGGTACCAATCTCTTTGCAGAATATACAGTTGCCCTCGGCCATGATTCATTTCCCTTTTTTGTCTGTTTACTATTCTGAGCAATTCAACACATACGCTCATCTCTTTGTTCATGAACTGCTGCATTCTGAAACACCAGCTTTGTTTTGATTCTGTGTCTCTCTATGTACTTCAAGTCCACATCCACCTGGTTCATTTACAAAAGTCTAGGGTATCCACAAAATGATATAGCTGTCCAAAAATGATGTAGATTCTCTAAACACTGAGAAGAGAATGATAAAAGGTGAGAGCATTTTAAGTCCACTGGGACCTTTTTTGTGCATTTACTAGCGCTGCGATTTTCTTCAGAAATTTAAATTATTTAACCTAAATCTACAATTAACCTTAGCTACTTACATTCAAGATGTGTAGCTTACTTTACAAAATTTTAAAACGGCTTGAAAAAAAGACAATTTCTTATTAGATATATACTATACTTTTCAGTATAATATTATACACTATGCAAAGAGAGAGGGTGAGCAGTACTACTATCATGCCAAAACATTTCTAACTTTATAATGATGCGGAGTAAATAATCTTACACGTATCTTCTAAGCAATGCATTAACGTTTCAAAGGTGGGCATGCCTGTACTCGAGCCCTCATCTACCTTCACTACTTGCTTTGCTCCCTCATCTCATATACCTTCACTGCTTGCTTTGCTCTCTGTAGATAAGGACAGCCATCCACAGATAAAGAGAGGAAGGGAAGGAGGAAGGGAGAGAGATTGGATTTTCTGGCCATGAATCCCTTGACTATGAAGCTTAACTCTAAAGCAATAAGCAGAATCTCTGGTAAAGTAACCTGTGAGGGCAGTGTACTGGCAGAGAAGGGGCTTATAGAAAAGCCCCCTCTGACTTTGAAAGGAGAAGAGATAAAGGACTATATTTAGAGGCTAAGTCATGGTACCTCCATCTCATGGAAAAGGGGAAGTGTTCTATGATTTGGAAGAGAGAACTAAAGGAAGTGGCACAAGATACACAATAAACTGAGCTGAGACATAAAATCACACTGTAGGTAGCTTAAGCTGCAGTAAGAGACAGCCTCCATTCTCCCAGGTGCTTAAATAGCACACATTTATTTTTCACCCACACTATGCATTCAACGATGATCAGCAAGGTGACACTGAGCATTACATCACGCAGGGAACCTAGTGACGGAAGCTTTGTATTGATTGATATGTGCTTCCTCAATCACAGCAGCAGTGAGAAGGGAGTGAACTGGGCACTGGCTCTTAAAACTCCTCCCCCAAAGCAACACACATCACTTTGCTCACATTTTGTTCACTAAGGCAAGTCACAGGGCCTTACCTAACTTCAAAGGCGTTAGGAGAGGGCTAACTTGTTGTGTGCCCAGGAGAAGAAGGGGAATATATGGTCAACAATATTAACGTCTACAATAAACATTAAACCAGGATGAAGGAACGTTCAATAGCCAGATAAATCTAGTTCATTTGTGTGAAGTATATAAAATATTTCAATGTATAAATATACCAAAGGGACAATTAGATTGTTACTGTTGTTTTCTTTGTGATTACAAACGTGTCTTCTTGTGTACGTAGGTAAGAGTTTCTTCAAGGAATATGTAAGACATATATATGTATATATTTACACACACACACACACACACACACACACACACATGGAAGTGGAATTACACTTGTGGCTATGAGTTACCTCACTGGCAGGATGTCAGTCCTTTCTTGGTTAATGTTAAGTTGAAATATTAATCTTTTCCTATATGATTTGTGTTTTCCCTTTCTTGTATATAAATTCTTTCCAACCCCAAATTTATAAAGATATCTCCCTATATTTTCTTCTAAAAGTTCTCAAATTTTGCTTTTCACGGTTGGTTCTTTAATCTACTTAGGATTTATTTTTGGTATGCTATTAAATACAGATCTACTCTCACCTTTTATTCATAAGGTTAGCTAATTTCCCCAGCACCATTTAATGAACAGTTCATCGCTTTCCTCCACTAATTTATGTTACTTTAGTCACATATAAAGTTTTCATACGTATCTAAATCTTTTTTTAAATTAATCACCTGTTTTTAATAGACTTTATTATTTTTAAGGGCATTTTTAGGTTTACAGAAAGATTGCACAGAAAGTAAAGTTCCCATAAACTCTCTCCCCCAACAGTTTCTCCTTTCATTAACATCTGCATTAGTGTGGTCCATTTGTTACAACCGATAAACCAGTATTGATACATTCTTCTTTTTTTTTTTTTGCGGTACGCAGGCCTCTCACTGTTGTGGCCTCTCCCGTTGCAGAGCACAGGCTCCGGACGCGCAGGCTCAGCAGCCATGGCTCACGGGCCCAGCCGCTCCGCAGCATGTGAGATCTTCCCAGACTGGGGCACAAACCCATGTCTCCTGCATCGGCAGGCGGACTCCCAACCATTGCGCCACCAGGGAAGCCCTCTAAATCTCTTTTTAAGATCTGTACTCTGTTTCCTTAATTTGCCTAGCCTTGTGCCTTTACCATACTGTTTTAATTACTATAATTTTACAGTATCATAAAATCTGACAAACTGAACACCTGTCTTCCCTCTCCTTCCCCTTCTCTGTTTTTCTTCAAAATTACCTTGGATATTCCTGGCCCTTTCAGGAGAATTTTGTGTTTTGTTTAAGTTTTCAAATATACTAGCATAAAGGATTCTTCAATATACTCAAATCAATCAATGTGATACACCATATTAACAAATTGAAGGAGAAAAACCATATGATCATCTCAATAGATGCAGAAAAAGCTTCTGACAAAATGCAACACCGATTTATGATAAAAACCCTCCAGAAAATAGGCATAGAGGGAACTTACCTCAACATAATAAAGGCCATATATGACAAACCCACAGCCAACACTGTTCTCAATGGTGAAAAACTGAAACCATTTCCACTAAGATCAGGAACAAGACAAGGTTGCCCACTCTCCCACTGTTATTCAACATAGTTTTTGGAAGTTTTAGCCACAGCAATCAGAGAAGAAAAAGAAATAAAAGGAATCCAAATTGGAAAAGAAGAAGTAAAGCTGTCACTGTCTGCAGATGACATGATACTATACATAGAGAATCCTAAAGTCTCTACCAGAAAACTACTAGAGCTAATCAATGAATCTGGTAAAGTAGCAGGATATAAAATTAATGCACAGAAATCTCTTGCATTCCTATACACCAATGATGAAAAATCTGAAAGGGAAATTAAGGAAACACTCCCATTTACCATTGCAACAAAAAAGAATAAAATACCTAGGAATAAACTTACCTAAGGAGACAAAAGACCCATATGCAGAAAATTATAAGACAGTGATGAAAGAAATTAAAGATGATACAAACAGATGAGAGATATACCATGTTCTTGGATTGGAAGAATCAACATTGTGAAAATGACTATACTACCCAAAGCAATCTATGGATTCAAGGCAATCCCTATCAAACTACCAATGGTATGTTTCACAGAACTAGAACAAAAAATTGCACAATTTGTATGGAAACACAAAAGACCCCAAATAGCCAAAGCAGTCTTGAGGAAGAAAAATGGAGTTGGAGGAATCAGGCTCCCAGACTTCAGACTATACTACAAAGCTACAGTAATCAAGACAGTACGGTACTGGCACAAAAATAGAAATATAGATCAATGGAACAGGATAGAAAGCCCAGAGATAAACCCACGGACATATCGTCACCTTATTTTTGATAAAGGAGGCAAGAATATATAATGGAGAAAAGACAGCCTCTTCAGTAAGTGGTGCTGGGAAAACTGGACATTTACATGTAAAAGAAAGAAATTAGAACGCTCTCTAACGCCATACACAAAAATAAACTCAAAATGGATTAAAGACCTAATGTAAGGCCAGACACTATCAAACACTTAGAGGAAAACATAGGCAGAACACTCTATGCCATAAATCACAGTAAGATCCTTTTTGACCCACCTCCTAGAGAAATGGAAATAAAAACGAAAATAAACAAATGGGACCTAATGGAACTTAAAACCTTTTGCACAGCAAAGGAAAACATAAACAAGATGAAAAGACAACCCTCAGAATGGGAGAAAATATTTGCAAATGAAGGAATGGACAAAGGATTAATCTCCAAAATTCACAAGCAGCTCATGCAGCTCAATAACAAAAAAATAAACAACCCAATCCAAAA